GTTCAGTGTTTCCTGTAATCTGGGTGCTTAAATTTAAAGGAGGGTAACTAAGGCAAATCAGCATGGCTTAATGAAAAATATATCTTGTCTGACTAGATAGTTTGTGGGGATTTTTTTGGTGAGATAAATTTGATTGATAAAGGTAGTAGTGTTGACAGATCTTGATAAATCAGAGAGGAGCCAGGAGCATAATGAAGTGATTGGAAAAATGCACCTTATAGTGATTGAACTCCTGGAATCTCTCTCTTTAGTTGGACAAAGAAGTTAAAGGGTATCTTGATTACAATGTATAAATATCTATCTCTGGAACAGATATTTAATAATGGGATCTTCAGTCTAGCAAAGAAAAGTACCCCATGGCTGGAAGCTGAAACTAGAGAAATTCAGACTGCAAATGGAACAGAAATGTTTTACAGTGTAGGTAATTTAAAGAATGGAACAATTTAGCAAGGGTGGGTTGTCCAGCACAAGCAATTTTTAAATCCAATTTGGATGTTCCTCAAAAAAAGCTCTAGGACAGTGGTTTTCAAACATTTTTCTCATGACCCACTAGAAGAAAATTAATTGATGCCCATGATCCAACATAATTTGACGAGAGTGTAGGTTCTGGGTTGGGGCTGAGGATGAGAGCTTTGGGCATAGGAGGGGGCTCTGGCTTTGGCGGTGTCAGGGCTGAGACAGGAGGGGCTTACTTTGATCGGCTCCCAGTCAATGATGTGGGGTGTGTGTGTGTGCGTGCGTGCTAAGGCAAGCTTCCTACATCCCCTGGCACCGCAGAACATGCTGCATCCCAAAAGCAGCCAGCAGCAGGTTCCCAGCCAGGGCTGGAAAAGTGGAGCCCTGTGTGCTCCCTCGCACCCTACCTAGGAGTTGGGCCTGTTGCTGGCTGCTTCTGGGGCGCAGCACAGTCTGCACTGCCAGGACAGGCAGGTCTGCCTTAGCACCCACATTGGTAACCTGATCACTCTGCAGCAATGAGCCAGTGCCTGACATTCCACAACGCAGTATTTGGTTGCGACCCGTAGTTTGAAAACCATGGATCTAGGAATTATGATAGGGAAATTCTGTGTTTTTTTTTTTTTTAAATGTTAGAGTAGATGATGATGATGGTCACTTCTGGCCTTGGAATCCATGACTCTGAATGATTAAAGATTTGGAAACATGCCTAGTAGTGAGATACTTATAGCTAAAAAAAGAGTATGAGGTGATGTAGTTATTGTCTGGAAATACTGTACAGTAACTTCATGGAAGAGATTTGATAGGAGATTGTAGTTCATTATTGGATCAACTTCCCTGGGGATGTAGGGATCTTCCATTACTTGTAGTCTTTATATCAAAATCGGATATCTTTATAATTTGCTATCTCTCAAACTGAAGTTATAGATTTCATCCAATAATTTTGGCACCAACCTGTTGATCCTGGTTTTTGTTCTGTAGGAGGTCATATTAATTGACCATTAATCGACGGTCTCTTTTGGCCTTAAAATCCATGAAATTAAATTGCCATTCCATTGAGAGCCAGTATAATGCTCAGAGCACAAGGATGCTGTGTGCTGAACAACTGACATGGATCAGCTGAAATGTTTTTTGTTTGTGTTTGTATGCACTCTAAAGTACAGAGAATTGCAGTAACTTACCCTGGAAATCAGACTAACATAGAACAACGTGGTCTGGTCATCATTGGGAAAGTAGGGAGCACTAACTTTTTGACAGTTTCAATTGGAAATTGGTAAATTGAATGAAACTGCTTGGGAGTACTAAAATTTCTCTCTATTGTGACAGACTGCCTTAGTAGTAGGTGAAGAAGTGACGGTGACTACCTCTTCAAAATGTTTTCTTTTTCCAACCAAGATAATCTCAGCTTTATTTTCAGCTAGCTACATTTTTCATCTGCTTGCTGCTCTTGGCCAGGCACTGATACAGTTGGATCATAGCACTACAATGATGGAAGTGAGCGAGACATAAAACTTTGACATTTGACACTGTGATATTTAATTAGGTTCTCTGGTAGGCTGATACACATGTTGAACAGGATAGATGTAGGAATAGAGGTACTCCACAGATGAACAGGTTGATATTAAGGAAGTTGCTCATTGTCTGAGAGCCAAAAGGAAGGATTTCATCCAACTTAGTAATTTCCTGATATCCCTCACCAATGAACATATGATCATCCATTTTCATGACTTCCGAAACTTCCATTCTATGTACTAAACTGAAACCTGATAGGAGAGGCCCATTCATTATCTTGGTGGTGGATTTGAATGCTGTTCTTTTGCTGTGTAGTTCTCTTGTTTGGTTCTCTGGATGATAAGAGGTATTACATTAGGAGCATATATTTTATTTTGTAATATAATGAACTGACTGACATCTTTTTGTTCTGGAAAACTCTTATAAATTCCTAAATAGACTTTATATGTAATTTACAAGACTGCTGTTTTTTGCTGGTCTTAGCTTTTCATCTGCTTCTTGGCACTTGTCTGTTCCCAAGCATTGATAGGGGAGAATCTCCTTGCAAGTAAAGGCTTTTATATATTGTAATTTTGTATCATAGCAGATCTAGAAATGGGAAGTCCTCAATTCTTTTGCTTTAATCTATGTATTGATTTCATTATGCTTCGTATAGAATGAATTGTTAAAAGGAGAATCTGTTCTTTTCAGTTGCAGGGCTAAAGGCACCCTGGGCTCTGTTCTACCAAGAGTTTAGCTTGCAAAAGGATGCTGCTTTCAGGGTGGAGGAAGAGGGAGGGGGGGATACTGAAACACAGTTTTGCATGGAAATTGCCTTTTTAGGTTGTGTTAGACCAGTGGAAGACCTGGCAGAGGTAGGCCTAACTGATACTGCTGGGGGTTCAGCTAATCCAGTAAGCAACTCCTGTGGATCCTTAGTTAAAATTAAAGCTGTCTCTCCCTAGCAAGCGTGCGCAGTGGAAACACCACCTTTCTTCATGGGAAAATGTTGCCCGATTTTTAACCTTACTCGACAATCCTGCAGGCACTGCTGAGTCAGTGAAGTGTAGCCTGTGCCATCCAGAATGAATTTGGCTAATAAATTAATTAATCTTTTAACCAGGACTGTCTGTGTAATGAGAGTAAACATTACCAAAATGTCTGATGTGTTTATGTGCAATTAAAACCATGAAGAAAAATCAGGGGCAGAATAAACTATAATTTGCATTATCACAATTTTACTATGTATTAAATACATTGCTCTTACCCTTTCCTTTGCCTCTTCACCTTAAAGGTTCAAAACACAGATTGGGAACTGTTGGGTTAATGTTAACCTAGGTGTATGTTTGTCAAGTTTCACTGTTGCTAAACCTCAGGTTCTTGGTCTAGTGCTACTGACTTATGACAAGAATCAAAACAGCAAACAAGCAGCAAAATTATTTCTTCCTTGACATGTCTCTTTGTCTTCTATAAGGATTGTCAACATGAACTTTAATTTCAGCCAATAAAACTTAGTTAAGCAGAAGAAAACTACATTCATGCCAGATTTGTATGTAACCAGTTGATTATTTTTCCTGTTGTATCTTTGAAAAGCAGAATATCGAGCATGTCATGGAAGCACTAGACAAGAGCATCTGAAGTATTTTTGCCCCCTCTCCCCCCTCATCTGTTTAAGTGTGCTATGGATTTTGGTTAAGCTAGGGATGATTATGAAATTAGAGAATGGTTGCAGAAGATGCACATGCTGTAAGTGGTCAAACACGATTTCCTTTTCTTGACATGCAGGTTAGCATGTCCAGTACCAAATAATCACTGTTAATATTTTTTCTCCTTTGGTAGCGGATACCCTTTTTTCAAGAAAACTAAATGGAAAATACAAACTTGAACAACTTGTTCCAACTGCTGTGTATCAGCATATGAAAATGCACAAACGAATCCTAGGACACTTATCTTCTGTATACTGTGTAACTTTTGATCGTACTGGCAGACGGATATTTACCGTAAGTACAAATTCCTTACTTTCATACTGCTGTTTTAAATATAGCTCAGAAGATATGATCAAATAACCACTATTCTCAAAACTGTACTCATTTTGTGTACTAAGAGCAGATAACTAATAACGCATTTAGGGTATGTCTACACTAGCCCCCAAGTTCGATCTAGGGAGGCTAATGAGGGCAACCGAAATTGCAAATAAAGCGTGGGACTTAAATATCCCGCGTTTCATTAGCATGTTCCCGTCGGTTGCCATTTTAGAAATTGACTAGCCCAAAGTAACTGCCCGTGTGTCTACACGCGGAAGTGAAACGGGATTCTGTATTAAAGCCCTAAATCGAATTAGCTGTTATTCCTCCTGGAATGAGGTTTAACAGCTAATTCGATTTAGGGCTTTAATACAGAATCCCGTTTCACTTCCGCGTGTAGACACACGGGCAGTTACTTTGGGCTAGTCAATTTCTAAAATGGCAACCGACGGGAACATGCTAATGAAACGCGGGATATTTAAGTCCCACGCTTTATTTGCAATTGTAGTTATTACTTGACTTTGGTGTTTAAAGTGGACTTCTTTAAAGAAAACATAACAGAATATCCATCTTGATAGTCATATTTTTTTTAAAATTACCACTTGAGATATGGGTTTTCGACTGCTATGTTTACAAGGTAAAATTTAAGTAAAATTTGGTTATTTTAATGAACGTGGTAAATCTTGGTTGCCTTCCACCAATCTCCCCAAATTTTTGGGTATAGCATATTGAACAGTGGTCTCGATTTCTTAATCAGTATCACTGTTCTATTAATATTTATAAAGATTTTAGAGGGTGTTAAAATTAATCTGTTGACAAAGTCTTAAGGAAATGGATCCTATCAAACTAATCAATATATTACGGAATTATGAATTTGGATGATAGAGGTAATAGAGGTAAACTTCTTTAAGGCACAACATTTTAAGAAACTAGGAGGATACAAAATCAACATAGCACGTTAAATGGATTAAAAACTGGCCAATTGATGTTTCGGTGTATTCAGGGAATCACTAAGCAAGCATGGTTAAAATGTTCCACAAGGATTATTTTTTTGGCTATATGCTGTTTATTACTTTTGAGAGTGATCTGGAAGAAAACATATGTCATAAAGATTGCAGATTCAAGGGGGCGGGAGGGTAAATAACAGAAAAAAGAAATCACTGGCGCACTGATTTTGATCACTGGGTAAACTGGCCGTAGGCAAATGATGCATTTCAGTACAGACAAATGTAATGTCATACATCGAGCAACAAAGAATATAGGTCCTAGAGGATATAAGAGACTCTTATTTTGGGCAGCAACTCTGAAAAAGACTTGGGGTCATAGGCAGTGTCTAAACTATATCTCTTTCTTGAAAAAGGGATGTAAATTAGACGCTTGGAAATTGCAAATGAAGCCGGGATTTAAATTTCCCACACTTCATTTGCATAATTGCAGCCACATTTTTTTCCTGAAAAAATGAGGTGTGCAGGATCTTTCAAAAAAGGGTTTTATTTTCAAACAATCCTAGTCTAAACAGCCGTTTTTCTTTCGAAAAGCCCCCTTTCGAAAAAAACTCCGCAGCCTCCATTATGGAAATGAAGTGTGGGAAATTTAAATCCCGGCTTCATTTGCAATTTTGAAGTGTCTTTTTCGAGAAAGGGATGTATTTCAGACACAGCCATGGTGCATAATCAACTGAATCTCAGCTAGCAGTGTGATGCTGTGATTCAAAGAGTAATGTGGAGCTTGGGTGTATAAATGGGGAATATCAAGTTGAAAGGGGGTTTATTTTGTCCCTATGTTTGGACTTCTATGTCAAGTTCTAGAGTCAACACTTTAAGAAACATCTTGATAAATTAGAGAGGATTCCGAGAAGATCCAGGAGAACGATTGAAGGATTGGAGAACATGCCTTGTAGTGACAGACTCAAGGGAACTCAATTTGTTTAAGCATCAAAAAGATGGTTAATATTGACTAGATCGGCTTGTAAGTACCTGTGTGGAGAACAGAAATTGATAAGGCATATTTAGTCTAGCAGACAAAGGTACAAAAAGATCAAATAAGTGGAAGTTGAAGCTAGACAAATTGAGGCAAGAAATAAGGCATTTTTTTAACATTGACAACAGTCGTTGGAAAACTTAGATATTGTGGTGGATTGTCCATCACTGGAAATGTTTAAATCAACAGTGGATGTTTTTCTAAAAGATATGCTATAACTCAGAGGAGTTCAGGAAAGTTTTAGAACCTGTAGTAGTCAGGAGGTCAGATGAGACCGTCACAATAGTTCCTTCTGGCCATTGAATTTACCTACCAATCTGAAACAGCTTGTTGTTAGTCTGTGAAACTCTGGGGTGACTTACATGAGAGGGGCTGTGCCAGTAAAAGTAGAGGGATGGTTCAGTTTTCTTGCTTTAGCTATTACAGTCTTAGTTTGTAAAACTTTTTGGTTTTAATACAATGAACATTCTCCTTTCAGCCCACACTTTACTCTCTCATCCCCTATGCAAGTTTCCAGGTTTCTGATCAAGCTTCTGTTCATTTTGCTCACCTGTCAGCTACATGGCAGAGCAGGCAAAATGGAGAATCTCTTGCTCTTCCTTCACTTTTCTATGTTGACAGCCCCAGAAGTGGAGCTCTTCTGCAGCTGCTCCCATGGTCCTATTTGTGCCCTGATAGGGGAAGAAGCTCAGTTTGGATAATTATGTTCTTCACATATTCAGCAGGCTGGGTCCTTACTGATCACTTAGTCTTTAGGGACAAGTCCCAAAATCACTCTCCCTCCTCATGCTGGTCCAGTTCTCCTCCAGAAGTGAAAAACTTCAGACTCACCTTTTCCAATTTTTATGTGGGTAATAATCACATTGCAGGGCTCTTTGTTCTTTCTCACCATCTTTTATGTTCTGGGTTGCAGTCCAGACCAGTGCGGTTTATGTCACTGCTTTGCTCTGTAACCCTGAATGCCTCAAAGTGCTCTGCTGCTGTAGCTCCCTTTTCTGGACATTTCCAGCCAGCATACAGTCATGCACTGTCTCCATAGGTTAAGCAGCTCTAACTAAGCAGTTCCCATTCCAGAAGCCTGCTTACACCACACTTGGGCCCGGGTTATCCTTGAAAAATGAATCCAACAATCTCCAGTCCTTGATTCTCCCAAAATCATGTACTTTGCAATGTCCTGGACCATTAAGAAGTGTTAGGGTTCATCTGTTCTTTTAAACAATAACCAGCAGCTTGCCACATTAACTGAAGTTAGTGAGACGCAGCACTTCATTGGATTAGATTTGTTGTTAATCTTATTTTATTTTAAAGAAGATTGGAATTTACTTAACTCCTGTATAAAAGATATAGTTAGGAATGGTTACAAGCAAATAAGAGTGAAAAATGCTTTCTGGAAGCTGACTTACAAAAACAAATACAAAACAAATAGACTTTGAGTGAACCATCTTCTAGCAAGATTTATTTGAACACTCCTCTTGTCATGATCTCCTGTAAAGTCCAAAGTCCTGGGTTCCTTTGTCATCTTAAGTGAAAGATACCGTAGGGTTCTTTGCTCCTGTCTTTTACAGTCCAGCGCACCTTTGAAATACGGATTTTTTTAAAAATAATATCCAGCAAGTTAAAATTAATTCAGGCTGTGAGGAAGGGGACATACAAGTCCAGTAGTCAAGGACGTGACATATATTGTTCACCCCCCATTACTTGTTGGAAACGAATCATTCTGCCTTTCAGCAGTCTCTTCCCCCTGCTGTAGTGAAGAGTGGTCATTTGCTCCCTCTGTTGCTTTGATGATCCTGATTATTTTCTATGTAAACAATTCCTTTTGTCTCTTCATGTACCTTGGAAATATCTTCAAGGTGGCAGTACCACGTTCCTTTGCCCAGTTGGGGTAATTTTAGCTCTGTTGGGCAGATGTACTTAAATGACATAATTTCTAGCATGTTCATGAGTTTGAATTTGCCCTCTGTACTTACACCCCATAGTAATATTAATGAACAGTATGCTGTTAGCTTTCTATTGATATCTTACATGACACCTTTTTATGGAGAAATTATGATTGTGGTGAGTTGAGATTCAGCTGGCCTGACCAGTTCAGTGTAATGTATTACATCATCTAATTGAGTCTCATGAATTGCAATGCTGCTAGCCACTGGAGCTCTATCTGTGGCCCGTGAACCACCTGTCTGAACCTTTCCCCCATACGCCTCTCACGCACTGAGGCACTGGAGTCCTGCATCTCATACTCCTCTCCCTTCCCTTCCAGTACTTTTGGAGCTGTGGTTGTTCCAGTTCTGGGAGGACGGGGGAGGAGCAGGTATGGAGTGTGGCTCGGGTGCTTCACAAGCTCCAAAAGTGCTGTGAGGGTGGTGGGAGGAGTAGGAAGTATAGGACTCTGGTGAAAACCGCTGGGTGTCGTACCTCAGTGTTCTGTACCTTAGTACCTTTGGTGGTCTGAACTGTCAGTGTTAGCGTCGTTTGGTCTGGATCGTCCTGGCGCGCTTCTGACAGGACCTCTACTCCGTCAGTGGTGGTAAACTTTTGGCTGCGTACTTAACAATCTGTACTCCCTTTATCTAGAGTGTTAGACCCTGTACACTTGGGTCAACACAGGAGATCTCTGAGAGTCCCCAAAAACGACACATGTAGGCAAGGTTTGAAATCAATCGAGCGAGTTTATTGTCAAATGTGAAGCTCTAACAGTTGGTAACAGAGATCAGTACAATGTTATACCACTGTGCATTATGGCCTGCGTTGACAAGGTACCAACACCGGGCAGGCCTATTGCCGTATATCCGATATTAACAGCAGTTAGTCAAAGTTGAGCTACTGTGCATTCTGTAAGTTTAGGCAGTGACACCTGCCATTCAGGCACCTAGTGCCCCCCCCCCCCCCCCAGAGAGCACCCTTTGTGGTGTCCTTTTATAGACAAGTACGAACAACTTACATCACTTCTTTACGTACTAGGTTGCCACCCTCTGTTGCCTAGATCACCGGTATCG